ACAAAATGCACAATTCCCTGGTTTAAAATCTAGGAGGAAAACAAAGTGCTCATGTTCTCTCTTCCATCATTATTATGCAGATTATCAAATTAGGTCTCACCCTGAGCATGCACCTATTGCTCCCCCACAAAATACATCACCTTGCAGAAGTGTAATCTCCCCTCGCTCTACATAATATCCACAGAACTTACTGTAAAGCGTGATGTCATCATTTCCCACTACTGGCCACCAGTGATTGGAGAAGGGGCAGGAAAAGGCAGAATACTGTGATGTCAGACATAGGTAAGTTCTTCCAGATAGTATGTGAGGAGGGGCTGGGCAGAGATGGACAGTTGATGCAGTAAGAACAAGGACTTCGTTAGGGAATGTCCAATTTGACTCGGTACTCTTTACAGTGAAGGACATATAAAGTAAAACAGGGACAATTGTGAGTATAAAGAGATACCCATATTGTGGGTTCCTCTCATTACATCCATTTTTTAGAAGGTATGTTTCAAGGAAGAATCAAAGAGGAATTTGGTCATGTCTTCAAACCATCTTTTGTGAGAGGGTGCAAATGAATGTTTGTTGTCAATGATCTTACAGTATACTTTCAGTTAACAAGCCCCCACTGATATTGGTAGACTCTGCATAAATGTAATTTCTGGTTGCTTGAGCGTTACAAATAAAATTGGCCTAACTAATACTGTATCCCATACTATACCATACCAAAAACTCTCTACTGATGTAATATTGAATTAAAGCGATTAAAAAACAAATTAAGACAAAGAAAGTCAATTTACTGTTACATAGTTTTACTGTAAAAACTAATTGTACTGTGTAATAAAATGGATTTTAATTTTAATTTTTTTAAAGCAAGAGAATTCAGAGATAGTTGCTGCTTTCACACAGTAGAAGACATGGCATCACCTATATTTTAAAAAAATAAATAAGGGATAGGTCTGGAGGAAGGTGGCTGTTGTGGAGGCATTACTTAAGGAATGTACAACTGGCACTGATTTTAGGGGGATTCAACTACTAATTTTCCTTTCACTATACCTCCCTTCAATTCTCACCTCAAATAAAAAATACTTGTTATTTCTCTTCCCTACCCTGTGCTCTCTTGCAAGATCAGGTGTAATGCAGGCACAAAATCCTATACCCTAATATACATTTATGGGACCATAGCTCTAATATGTGTGTGTACTGTTTTTCTTCGATTCTAAGATGCCATCAATGGTACAATGAACAGTAATTTCAATAATAACACCAACAGATAAATATCTAAGATAGAACTGAGATTCTAAGGTGCACTCTGTTTTTAGAGATGTTTCTATGGGGGGGGGGGGTGTGATTTGGAATCAAATTTTCTCCCTCCCTCTCTCTAAATATATGGAGGGATGATTGGAAGGCTGGATGGCCCTTGTGGTGTCTTCCAACTCTATGATTGTATGATTGATACACACACATAAATCCTCCACCCATCCCCATCAAATTCTCACCCAGAAAATCACCACTGCTCTTCCTAACATCATAGCTAGTAAATGTTGCCAGCTCTTCCAATTTCTCTTCTCCCACCTTTCCTGCAAGATCAGGTGGAATGCAGTATAAAACAACACCCTCCATATATACATTTATGGGAATATGGCTATGTATGTATGTATGTATGTATGCATCTATCTCCATCCATTCATGCCATTCTCCCCACAGCTTGCAAGGTCAGGGGGGATGCAGACACCACGCAACCCCCATAATACATCTATGACAGTGATTCTTGGCCTGTGCGTCCCCAGATATTTTGGCCTTCAATTCCCAGAAATCCTAACAGCTGGTAAACTGGCTGGGATTTCTGGCCAAATCACTTGGGGTCCCACAGGCTGAGAACCACTGATCTATGGGAACATGGCTTGACTATATATGTATGTTTACACACATGTACATACATACATCTCCCAACCTGCATCCAGTTCTCTCCCACAAAATTATCACTGCTCTTCCTAACACTGCAGCTGTAAAGTTCTTGTGGTTTCTTTTTCCCCAAAACAACACCCCTATCCCATGGAAACATGCCCGCAATGTATACATATACCCATATATATGCTTCTTTCCCTACATCTTGCAAGAGCAGGTGGAATGCAAACACAAGGCGACCCCCACAATACATTTATGGGAACATAGTTTGACTATATATGTATGTTTATACACATGTACATGCACACACCTCACAACCTGCACCCAGTTCTCACCCATAAAATGATCACTGCTCTTCCTAACACCGCAGCTGGATTTTTTTTCTGGTTTCTCTTCCCACAAAACAACCCCCCCCCCCAATGCATCCATATACCCATATATATGCCTCTGTCCCCACAGCTTGCAAGATCAGGTGGAATGCAGACACAGGCCGACCCTTACAATACATCGTTGGGAACATGGTTTGACTATATTTAAATGTAGGGGTGAATATTTGATCTAGCAAGTGGTTACTGTGAATGCAAAATGATGTTGCTGTCAGGTTTTCACAGGAAAGGTTCAATTGTAATTTCAAGAGCAGAGCAGGGCTTGGTGAGTCAAATTTGGTGATAACGTCTGGGTGAAGGACTCCTAGGTTCCCAATACTGTGCCCTATATGCACACACCTCCCAACCTGCATCCAGTTCTCACCCACAAAATGATCATTGCTCTTCCTAACACCGCAGCTGGAAAATTCTTGCAGTTTCTCTTTCCCCGAAACAACACCCCTCCTATGGAAACTTGCCCCCAATGCATACATATATCAAGATACATGCCTCCCTCCAAAAAAAACAACAACTTGCAATGTCAGGTGGAATGCAGGCACAAGGCAACCTCCACAATACATCTATGAAAATATGGCTTGACTATACTTGTATGTTTACACACACACATCTCCCAACTTGCATCCAGTTCTCACCCACAAAAAGATCACTGCTCTTCCTAACACTGCAGCTGGAAAATTATTGCAATTTCTCTTCTCCCCAAAACAACACCCCTCCTACGGAAACTTGTCCCCAATGCATATATATATATATATATATATATATATATATATATTGGGATACATGCCTCCCCCCTCCAAATAGCTTGCAAGATCAGGTGGAATGCAGACACAGGGCAACTCTTACAATACATCTTTGGGAACATGGTTTGACTATACTTGTATGTTTACACACACACCTCCCAACCTGCATCCAGTTCTCACCCACAAAATGATCACTGCTCTTCCTAACACCGCAGCTGGAAAATTCTTGCAGTTTCTCTTTCCCCGAAACAACACCCCTCCTATGGAAACTTGCCCCCAATGCATACATATATCAAGATACATGCCTCCCTCTATATATTGATACATGCCTCCCCCCCCCACAAAAAAAACCCCAGCTTGCCAAGATCAAGTGGAATGCAGGCACAAGGCGACCCCCACAATACATCTATGGGAATATGGCTTGACTATACTTGTATGTTTACACACACACCTCCCAACTTGCATCCAGTTCTCACCCACAAAAAGACCACTACATCCTAACACTGCAGCTGGAAAATTCTTGCAATTTCTCTTCCCCCCAAAACAGCACCCCTCCTATGGAAACTTGCCCCCAATGCATACATATATCAGGATACATGCCCCCCCCCAAAAAAACCCCTCCTATGGAAACTTGCCCCCAATGCATCTATCTATCTATCTATCTGAAAACATGCCTCCTCCCTTCCCCCCAAAACTCCCAGCTTGCAAGATCAGGTGGGTTGCAGGCCCAAGGCGACCCCCACCAGAGATCTCTGGGGCCCTGTCCCCTATGTCCGCACAGGCACATCTACCTCATCACGCCCCAGCCGCGGCCTCCGCGCTGACAGGCCCGGTCCCGGCGCAGGCTTCCCCCAATGGGGCCCTCCATGCTGCCAGTGGCGGGGCCCCCTCCCCTCGATTCCCATGGGCCAACCACCTGCTTGACACATCTCTCTCTCTCTCTCCCCGAGGAGCCCCTTGTCTTCCTAGGTCCAGGCTGCCTTCGGGGTCCGGGCCGCCCCTCCAGAGCCCTCTGGGCCCCCCACCTCCTGGGGGGGCCGAAGCAGAGCCATCCTTTCGCCGTGGCCCCCCTGGATCCGGCTGACACGGCCCCTCCCCTCCTTCCCTTCCCTTCCCCCTCCCCTCCAGGGGTTAAAACATGAGAAACACACACAGAGGCAGCCCCGTACGCCCGCCAATGCCTTCCCCTTGGAAACCGCGGCCGGGAAACTTTGGTTCCGCGCGGGCCCCTCAGCAGCTCTCTCTCTCTAATAATGCTGCTGCTGCTCTCTTCTCCTCTCTCTCCCTCATCACCCCACCCAAAGGTGATACCCCCTTCCTTTGAAACAATATATATATATAAAAACACAACCGTTCATCTGCTCAGAGGATATACATACCCCGACTAGGCTTGGGTTTGTTTATTTTCACTGTAGGAATAACCCTCCTTTGCCCCCTCCCAAGCCCAAGGTGACAGAATGTAGGGGAGAATATCCAAGAAAGCAAAACAACAAAGGAGATGATGGGGAAGAAGGGGGAGGAGGGGGGAAGCAAGGAAAATACAACAGTCTATCTTGGCATATTTTAATGGGGAGGGGAAAGGTGTAGATCTCATCAGATAATGCATATCCGTGCAATCCGTTTGATGGCTGAACCACCGCCCCCCCCCTCCTCCTCCCTGCATCTGAGTTGTTGTGATGTTTTCACATGCTGTGTGCGTCCACTCGATCCACACTCTATGTGTATCGAATGCAGGAAGGAGGGCGGGAAGGTGGGGGGAGTTGGCGAAGCATTTCTGTCCCTCCTCCTCTTCAAAACATCACTGGGCTCAAGGCAAGGTGACGAGGGAGAAGGCTAATTTAATTTTGAATGGAAAGCTTAGGGTTATAGGAAATGGGATAAAAAGAGTTTGCTTCTAGGAGAGAGAGAGACCAAGATTTTTAATTTCTGTATTTGATTTTTTTTTCAAAGGGAGGGGAAGAGGGAGAGCAGGGCAGTGGCTTACCTTTGGGAAGCGCATCCAGGCACCAAAGATTCCTCCTCATCCATCAGAAGCCTCCAAAAGAGAAAAGATGCTGTACGTCTTACAATCGCCACACTCACACACTCTCTCACGCACACAGACATGCACATATCCCAGGCAGGCACTAGCGAAAAGGTGGCCAAGGATGGGAGGAGATTGGAGATGTGGAATACAATCCCTCCCCACCACCACCATCACCTCCACCCCACTTTAAAAATCCATGAAAGGTTTGGGAGGAGGGAGAGGAGGAGAGAGAGAGGGGTTCACTCACCTGCTGTGTGGCCATGGTGTGGATGGTGATTCTAAGGCTGGATTTGTTGTCATGGTGGGGAGGGGGGCTTGTGGAAGAGATCCTGCCAGTTGCTGAAGGATTTGTGCGTGCGCCTCTCTCTCTCTCCTTCTCAGTCCCCCCCACAACACTGAAGTGGGGGGGGGAGAAGAAGAGGAGGAGGGGTGGGACAATCTCTTACAGATGCATAGCAGCAGTTTCCCCCCACAACACAGACACACACCTCAGCCCCTCTCCTGCTGTACCCTCCACTGTTCCCTTCCTTGCCCTTGGGAGAAAACAAGGGGGGTGATGTGTGAGAAGGCACCCTTCCTCCCCCTTTTCAGCTCCACAGGACATTAAAACACACAGAGAAACACACACAGAAGGGCAATCTGGGCCCCCACATCTCCTCAGGGTCCCCTAAATTTGGGTAAGGAGCCTTGGTATTGCCTGCACGCAAACTCCAGCCCCCTCCCCAAAACCCTCCTTGCTTCTTCCTGACTCCTCCTCCTCTGCTGCCCACCACTGAGGTTTGCCTCAGTTGCCCAAACACCCACCCTCCCCTTTTTTCAAATGCAGGCAGACCACTCCCCTCTGGAAACCCACTCCTTGGGCTCAGTGGAGGTGGGAAAAGAAGAGGGGAGAGAAGGGAGAGGAGGGGGGCTTGCTCTCTTCTTGGTTGGAAGGAAGAGGTGGTGGTGATGGGGGTCAGCAGCTTCCCTTCTGCTTGGCTTGTTACTCAAAACTCACTTTGCAGCAGGCAAGGTGGTGGACTTGATCCTGTAACCCATGCCCACCCCCCAAGTATTCCAAAATTTTAAATGACTTTGTTTTTTGTTTTAGCAAAACAGGAATATACCTTGCTCCGGGCCCAAACCTGCTTTGCTTATGATCTTCCAACCTGTCCTAGCTTTCCTGAAACCAAAGGGGATGCAACCTGAAACCTTTCCTGTTCAATGAGGGGGTGAGTGCACCCTAAACCCACTCCTTGGGCTTAGTGGAGGTGGGATCAGAAGGGAGAGAAGGAAGACTTCTCTTCTTCTTGGGCTTCAGGCTCAAAACTCTATCTCCATTCACTCTTCAGCGGGAAGGGCGGCAGGCTTGATCCTGTAAAACATGCCCTTCAATAATATGCAAGATTAAATATTGGTTTCTGGACAGCAGGGATCTGCCTGGCTTCGGTGATAAAAGGCCCAGTCTCTTTAACTAGCAATCTTTCAACCTTCCCTCCTTTTCCAAAGCAATAAAGGGAGTGATGTTTAGCCTCAAAACCTTCCTATTTAAAGGGGTGGGGGTCCCTTTAAGCTCTTCCCAATTCCAAAGGGTGGGGTGCTTGGTGCCTCCCCTCCTTTTCCCTTTCTTCAAGGGGGCTCTGAGCTGCCCAGCAGTCTCTCCCCCCAAAACCTGCCTATTCAATGGGGTGGGGGCCCCTTTAAGACCTCCCCAAATCTAAAGGGTGGGGTGCTTGGTGCCTCCTCTCCCCCCCCCCAAAACCTGCCTATTTAATGGGGTGGGGTCTCCTTTAAGCCCTCCCCAATTCCAAAGAGTGGGGTGCTTGGTGCCTCCCTTCCTTTCTCCTTTCTTCTAGGGGGCTCTGAGCTGCCCAGCAGTCTCTCCCCCAAAACCTGCCTATTCAATGGGATGGGGGGGGGGGCTTTAAGCCCTCCCCAAATCCAAAGAGTGGGGTGCTTGGTGCCCCCCTCCTTTCCCCTCTCTTCAAGGGGGGTTTGGGCTGCCCAGCAGTCTCTCCCCCCAAAACCTGCCTATTCAATGGGGTGGGGGCCCCTTTAAGCCCTCCCCAATTCCAAAGGGTGGGGTGCTTGGTGCCCCCCTCCTTTCCCCACTCTTCAAGGGGGCTCTGAACTACCCAGCAGTCTCTCCCCCCACATAAGGAGGCGCTTCAAACCCACCCCCCTCCCTCCAAACGTTCAGATCTAGCAATGGGGCGGGCTGCCTCTCCCCCCTGTGCCTCATAGAGAGGCGAGCTAGGCCTCAGTCTCCTGGCAGAGAGAAGAGCAAGGCTCCCGTCCTCTTTCATCCTCTCCTCTCCCCCCTCCTTTCTCCCCACAGTCATTCACTCGCACATACTGATACACCTCGCTCACACAGAGATGCACACAGCCACACAAAAACTCATAATGGCGGCCCCAGGAAGCCCAGCAAGGGACGCTCGCCGCGCGGGGGCTGACGGGAGTCGTAGTTCTCTCCACCCCTCGGGACGCATTCGGCTCTGCGGCGCGAGGGAGGGGCTCGGACTACAAACCAAGATGGCGGGCAGGGCCTCGCCGCAGTGCGGTCTGGGAATGGTAGTTTTGTCGCCCCGGCTCTGTGCCTTGGGCCCTGTTGGTCGCTACGGCGAAACAAGAGATGTTTGGACTACAACTGAAATGGCGGAGAGGCGGCTGAGGAAGAAGGAGTTTGGCTCCGCCCTCCCCAGTTAGGCCATGTATGGAGGTCGCTAAGCAGCACGGGGAAGGAGTCCTTTCTCTAGTGAGAATGGAAAATATTGTATTGACATTGTGAACCTCTGAATCATAGAATCAAAGAGTTGGAAGAGACCTCATGGGCCATCCAGTCCAACCCCATTCTGCCAAGAAGCAGGAATATTGCATTCTAATCACCCCTGACAGATGGCCATCCAGCCTCTGTTTAAAAACTTCCAAAGAAGGAGCCTCCCCCACACTCCGGGGCAGAGAGTTCCACTGCTGAACAGCTCTCATAGGAAGTTCTTCCTCATGTTCAGATGGAATCTCCTTTCTTGTAGTTTGAAGCATTGTTCCATTGCATCCTAGTCTCCAGGGAAGCAGAAAACAAGCTTGCTCCCTCCTCCCTGTGGCTTCCTTTCACATATTTATACATGGCTATCATATCTCCTCTCAGCCTTCTCTTCTTCAGACTAAACATGCCCAGCTCCTTAAGCCGCTCCTCATAGAGCTAGTTCTTCAGACCCTTGATCATTTTAGTCGCCCTCCTCTGGACACATTCCAGCTTGTCAATATCTCTCTTGAATTGTGGTGCCCAGAATTAGACACAATATTCCAGGTGTGGTCTAACCCAAGCAGAACAGAGGGGTAGGATTACTTCCCTGGACCTAGACACTATGCTCCTATTGATGCAGGCCAAAATCCCATTGGCTTTTTTTGCCACCACATCACATTGTTGGCTCATGTTTAACTTGTTGTCCACGAGGACTCCAAGATCTTTTTCACACGTACTGAGCATGTGTAGAGTTCAAAAGGGATTTCTATCCTCCCCCCATCACTTTCAAAATCATAATACAGCTAGTTGAGGCATGGGCAAACTTGGGCCCTCCAGGTGTTTTGGACTCCAACTCCCACAATTCCTAACAGCCTCAGGCCCCTTCCTTTCCCCCCCTCAGCCGCTTAAGCTTGTTTTCCGCTGACCTGGAGACTAGGATGCAGAACAATGGCTTCAAACTACAGGAAATGGTTTCCCCTTTTGTGGTATGGAAGTTGCTGAAGGGCAGCTAGGCGGATGGATGTGGCACCACTGGATATTATTCCATTATCCAGGTGGAGACCACCAGGAGTGCCAGAGAGAGAAAAATGGTCCCATTTTGGGGGGTGGAAGGTGAGTTGAAGGAGGTAAACAATTTCCCCATGTTTTCCTGTTTTTCCCCCCACACATGTCCTTTATGATATGGGAAAGGGGATATGGTTTTCCTCCTTCAACTCCACCCACAATAAATGGGACAATCCTCTCTCTAGCGCCCTTGTGGCCTCCGCCCAGATAATGGAACAGTACCCACCATTTTTTGAACTGTGGTGTTGGAGGAAAATTCTGAGAGTGCCTTGGACCGTGAGAAGATACAACCAGTCCATACAACCAGTCCAAATAAAGCCTGGCTGCTCACTGGAGGGAAGGAGGCAAAGATGAAGTACTTTGGCCACATAATGAGAAGACAGGAAAGCTTAGAGAAGACAAGTATGCTGGGGGAAATCGAAGGAAAAAGGGCAAGATTAATGATGGATGATATCCTTGAAGTGATTGGCTTGACCTTGAAGGAGCTGGAAGCAGTGATGGCCGATAGGGAGCTCTGGTGTTGGCTGGTCCACGAGGTCACAAAGAGTTGGAAGCAACTGAATAAACAACAACACCCACTAATGCTTCATTCCAGGAAAGTGACTCCGGAATTGTAGTCCATCATCTGGAGGACCACATAAAATGACATAGTAGGCTGGATTCAGCATGTGGGCCTTGAGTTTGACACATGCGTTCTAGGGGAATCGATGGAAGATAATCTGAAACTAGAACTAAAGCCAACATGGGCTCCTCAATTCATCTCAATGGAGCTGGACTATTTTTGGGGTCTGATTTTTCCATAAAAGACTGTTCGTAACTGTCTGGGGTCCACATATAATTGCATGAATGATTCCAACCTTATTGATACTGACTTTTCTCTCTGTTGCTTTTCCCTCTTGAGTTTGCAGGCAGAAATATCAGATGTTCAAAGTGAAAGAAATTGAAATCAACCTGCATCACACTTATTAACCATGTCTTTGTGTATCTGCAGAGGAAGAGACACCAGTGACGATGAAGAGGAGGAGGAAGAGGTTTTTGTTATGCAGAATGGCCCTGATCTCAAAGATTGCCTTGTGATTGGTTGATTGGTTCTGGACTGGAAGGATGACTGTAAGGTTATGAACAATAGTGGTGATAGGAATGCTAGCCATGATGCCATGTGTCTGAAAATGTGAATGGATAACCCATTTGATGAAGGTGTCCTTCTGACAACCATCATGGTCACTTGAGCTACCATCATGGGGACCACACCTTTGAGATAATAATGATATAAAACTTTATTTATATTCTGCTCTATCTCCCCGAAGGGACTCAGGGCAGATTCCAGTCACACAAAAGGCAAACATCAATGCCTGAGCATAACAACTTATAGATACATAATAACAAAAAGTAAACTTCACAGCATATAAAAACAAATTAAAGAAAAGAAACAAAAAGAAAAGAAAGAAGAAAGAACGGTAAGAAGAAACAATAAAGAAGAGAAGGAAAGGTACAAATGATGGAAGGAAGGAAGGCAGAATAGAAAGAAAATAATAAGAAGGAAGGATGAAGAAAAGAAAGAAGAAACAACAAAGAAGAGAAAGTCAGAAATGTTGGAAGGCATCATGAAAGGGAAAAAAGATGAAAAAAGATGAAAAGGAAGGAAAGAAGGAAAGATAAAGAAGAAATGATGGATGGATGTCAGGAAGGCAGAATGGAGAGAAGAAACAAAGGAAGGAAGAAGGAAAGAAATGAGAGAAGGAAGGAAAAATGGAAAGAAAAGAAGGAAGGAAGAAGGAAAGAAATGAGAGAAGGAACAATAGAGAAGAGAAACAATGTCAGAAATGATAGAAGCAAGGAAGAAAGGCATGGAAGTAAGATATATGTTGATATATGTTGTTGCAAAGCATTATTTGATTGCCCTGACTGGAAAGTGGTTTATGCTGAGCTCGCACCTGATCCTGCTCAATTGGGCCCACACCTCGGAAAAACCCTTTGGGTGTCACTCATGTGCCAAGAGCTTCTCTCAGTGGTCGGACTTGGTGTACCACAAATGGACCCACATGGGTGTCAAACCGCTGGGTCTTGCAGCACCCAGAGTGGCAAGTCTTCTCAAAGAGTTCGCACCTCATCCACCATCAGATCATCCACTTGAGGGATAAGTCCTTCCAACACAACACCTGCGGCAAGTGGTATGGTGACAGCTCCTGCCTCACTGTCCACTAACGGACCCATACAGGTGCCTGCCCTTACCTCTGTGCCCACTGTGGCAAATGTTTTGGTCAGTCATCCAGTCGCATCTACCACCAGCGAGTCCATGGGGACTCAGCCCCTGCTCCTGGACATAAGCCACAGCCACGAGGGATCTGGATGGCATTTGCTCACTTGCCAAGCAGTGCGGATAGTAATTCGAAACATATCCTTTCCCCTCAGAGGATGCTGACGTCCCTGGGATCTTTCCTCATGCTGTCCATTTTGCCCACTGTGGCTCGAATTTACCCACGTTTCACGAGGATTATGTTGTGGCATGGGGGGGGGGTGTGAAATAAAAGGAAAAAAAATGGGGAGGAAGAGGGGCAATGAAATGGTTGGTCACCATTTGTCAGAAGGTGATTGATGAGTATCCAACTCATGAATTGTTACTGTAATCCCTACTAAAGAAACGTGATTTATTCAGGTAACCAAAGAACTAATATTTTAATAAGAATGTACTGTACTGAGATTTACTCTTTGCTGTGCCAATTCATTAAAAGGTATAAGACAGGTAGTGGAAAAGTACAACCCAATTCCTGTTTCTTCTATCCCCAAATCCACCTGGTATATTGTCAAAAGTCACAGAACTTCCTTTCTCCCTTTTATTATTATTTTTCTGTGTGATTTTAAGGCACAGTTTTTGCCCCCAAATCTCCTATATATATCCAGGCTACCCACAAATACAATGCTCCATATCTTTTCCCTTCGACCATCTCCCAAATTTTCTTTGCGGCAGAAATGGAAGCGTTGTGATGTCAGTTGAAGGGAATGGTTGACATTCTGAAATGATTTGGAAGAAATCGGCTTCCGCCTCCTGCGCAGTTTCAACCGGGATATTAATTTCAATGCTTTGGTTTATCA